GATCTCCTCATGATACAAATACTGGCTTGGGAAAAGGGATTTCCTGAGGATTTCAACAGAGGATTAAAGTCTTTTTCCATTCCAGATCTGCTCCCTAGGACTATAATCACTAATCAGTCTTTGTGTACCGGAAGACAGAGCCTTGTACTTTCTCAGCTGGCCCACTCCCTTCAGCCATCATTGAGGACACTGTCCCAATAAGTAATGAAAAACTATTCACCTCCCAATCCAGCCATCTTCTGTATGTGGGACAGGAAGCAATGACAACAACAAAGTGTCTTGGGCTAGCCCTGTTGATGTCCCTAATTGTTAGCTATTACTTGCTGCCCAGCTCCTCCTGATACAATTTCTTTTAAGACCTGCATTTTAAATGTAGAATCATATTTAACATTGTATGTAAGTTTGGCCCTACACAATTTTTTAAAAAAAAATAAATATTATGAAAATAAAAGAAAGCAGCATGTTATTCTAAATGCCCATTGTAATTGTTCTGCTGTTGCTGTTGCTGCTGCATTCATTATAACTGTAATTTTGATTTGTAGACTTAGAAATTTGGATGGTAGGGATGTGTGATCCATTAAAAAATGGTTCAAAAGTCATTACAAAACTGGGGAGTGCTTGTGCTTCGCGTCCAAAGTGTTTCTAAAGTATACTTAATGAAAATTTTGTTACTATAACGAAAGTAATGAAATTTTGTTACTATTTCTTTACAGTAATGGTGCACAATTAAATGACTTTAATTTGGGAAACTTTAGGTGCTCCTATCTCCCTTATTTTAAAGCTATTGAGGTAAAACTTGCAACAATAGTTGGACATATTGACCCCTGTTAGCCCACCAAATTTCAGAACATTTCACTTATCCACAGATTTTTGGTGAATTTTCAAGGTTTTAGGGAGGGCCAGACCTTTCTCTCCGCTATCCTGAGTGGTGCTTTCTAATGCTGATGCAGTCTGGCAAATGTAGTTTGGGGCAGGGCCTTTTGAATTCTCTGGCATAGGTCTCCTCCCTTCCCAAACCACATTTCTTGGAGTTCTGTGCTGTTTCCAAAATGCACTGCTCCTTCTTTTCCCCGCTGAGAATGCCTAGACTGAGTTAATTTCACAGAGGAATGACAAGACACTAAGGCAACCTTTGGCTTTGCTTCCTTGCCATGCATTGAATATGAAACTGTCTTTGGGAGCCTTCTGATATTTACAAAACTAAAACAAAAAAGGATGCGATAAGTTTCGATTCTAAAATATTTGGTGCGGGCCACACAAATGCTTCAAATATGGCTTCTGACTTACAAAACTTCCAATTTTCTTACGATTTCTGAAACTTCTGATTTGTTTGCACAAACCTACTGGATGGCCCTTGTGATCTCTTCCAACTCTATGATTCTATGTCCAAGGAGCTAACTATTCCATTATTTAGGACTTTATCACATGAGACTGATATATCATAATTAAAACAAGAAAACAGTTTCTGCAAGTAGTACTAATCATATGATTTTGTGTCTCTTCCACTTCTGTTTTGCATTTAAATCACTAATTGAACACATCTTTTCATATATCACTACTTGAGTGAGTGAATGTAAGTCTCCTCTTCACTATTCCTAAGCAGGCTGAGGTTGATTTTATATAGTGAAGAGTTAGTCCGGGTGTTGCACTCCAGGCCAGGAAGAAGCCCTCTGACTTAAAAACACCACACAGCTGAGTGAAAATGCAAGCAGTTTATTGTAGGTAATTTTAAAAAAGCATTAGTAGTAAAAACACGCCAAAGAAATAGGTAAATCCCGGTAGGTAGAAAGATAAACAGGAACAAAGAATCCCAGAAATAAATCCATCAAAGTACATAAAAATCCACCCAGAAACTTCCAAGGTAAAACTCCAAATCATGAAATCAAATAAGGTATAACTTGAACCTTTCCAAGGCAAGACTGCAAGGTGTTTTGATCCAGTTCCAACGTTGCTTCATCTGACCTCAGGTTCTGTACTTGGCACTTTTATCCCCAAATCTACTCTAAATCCCTGCCAAAAACTTGTTTCTAGACTCTGTTATCAATTTCTCTCTCAACCTAGCAGAGCGCTGGAGAGATTGTTGAACTATTCTGTTCTGTCGGAAAACATGCCTTCTGTCTTCTGGCTCATTAATTTCTGCAGCTGGGCCAGGTGCTGAGCTTTTCTCAGGCTCAAAGGCCTGGGAATTCTCTGGTAGCAATTCAGGCCCTCTTCCAGAGACCATCCCACCATCCCCCAACTCTTCAGGAATATTCTCATCAGCAAAGCCACTTTGAACAGCAATCTCATTGTCATTCTTGGCATCTAAAGCACCCTCATCATTAGAAACAGCATTGTCACTGTCATTCTCAATATCATTAGAACCAGCATTGTCATTCCCAACATCCAGAGTGCCCTGATCATTAGACACAGTCACAGGCTGAACTCCGACACCGGGAAAGGGAGAGGAAAACTGAGCAAGGTTAGCTTAGATTTCATTCCTTCCCATGTCCTCAGGAAATGCTCCCTCCTTAATCTAATACCTCCTCCTTTTGGACTAATCACTCTGCACCCATCCCCTTTCCCAGTTGCCAGCAGAGTTGTCCTCTTCATTTAAAAGAGAAAAAAGGAGAGCAAAAAGGACTCATATCTGCTTCTGTGAGGTTTAAAAAAATAGGGGATGGAAATAGGTTTCACAAAGCCTATGGAAAAATGAGGGAGATAAGAGGCAAGACAGGAGAAGATGGAGTTGGGAGACAAGAGAAGAAGCAAGGGGCAGGACACAACACCACAATTGCTGACAGGTATGATAGTGATTGCTTTAAAACCAGTAAGTTGCCATTATGTTCCCATTTGCGTCAACAACACAATTTCTGTGAGATGACAGGTTGGTGTGATGAAGTCCTTAGAAAGTGCATCCTTTGCTTGTCTTCCAAGAAGGTAACAAGCAACATTTACTTAACACCTGACTTCTAAATGACTATCAAAGATACAAATGCCCTTTCTAGCTTTCATTCTGGCAATCCTAGTAGTAGTAATTATAACTGTAGTGAAATATTTATTGCAGTTGTTGTGTGCTTTCAAGTCATTTCTGCCATATGGCAAACCTTATTTCAGGTTTCTGGGGTGGAGAGTGTATGACTTGCCCAAGGCCACCCAGTAGATTTGCATGGTCAAGCAAGGATTCAAGCCTGGTCTCCAGAGTCATAATCCGACACTCCAACCACTACATCCCACTGACTGTATACATCCCACCCTCTGTCACCATACATCTCCGAGCAGTTTTCCATAGAATCAATTTAAACAATGTAAAATTTAGGACAATAAAAATAATGTAAACATTAAAAAATTGAATACCTGTGAATGTGTATGCAAGCTAAATGGTTTACTGCCAGGATATATATATAGAGAGGGGGGTGGGGTGGGAGAGGTTGTTTGGTGGTACCAAGCAAGAAATTCAAAGGAACTGAACCTCCAGCACTGCCTATGTTGAGGGACCTTGTAAACTGCAGTTTGAAAATATCTAGAGGGCTACATGTCCCGCAAGGCTCTTTCCTCTGTGGCAAAACATCCCCACTCCTCATTCTTGAAGATTATGTATGTAATTAGTGAATTTTCCATGCTGGATCAGGACTTGTGTCAAAGCTGTGTTGAGGGAAATGCTGCTGCCATTGCCCTACAGCAGTGATCATTTCCAACTTGCCTGAAGCTGACAAGGCACAGTTGACAAATCAATGTCAATGCAGCTTTTAAATTGGGATTTTCTAAACCATTGATGGACACGGTGTTGTTTCTTTCTCAAGTCATTTTGGTTTCATGTGTCATTTCATTAGGGAAATGTGGAATGTTTTTGAAGGGTAAAATGGAGAGGAAAGCTTTTGCTTTGAATACTAAATGACAATTTTGTTTAATACTGTTTCACATAAGAATTACAATCCTTTCCATCTAGACTCCTTGAAGAGCATTTTCACTGAAGATTTTACGGCACAAGGCAAGACATCTGGCACTGAAGCTGGGCCATCACCTTTGGTGGCGAGCCCTATTACACAATGCCATACACATCCACTGTCAGTCTGCTTCCTCCCCATGATTCCCCCATACCTAGCTATTGATATGTAACATCCATCAATTGTTTGCAATCAGACAATGTTCCCATCAGTATTTCCCAGACTCTGATCATCCTGGCATTTTGGACTTCAACTCCCTCAGCTTCTTTAGCCAATGATCAGGGATTCTGGGAAATGAAGTCCAAACACCTGGAAGACCCGAGTTTGGGAAACACTGACCTACAGTGATGAGTCACTTCCTCTATTGTGCCAGAATGCCAACAGTAAAGTGACATTTTGAGAACATCTGGAGGCCCTACTCCCTCCCCCAAAGCCCCCAGACCCCTTTGAAATGTGAAGAAAACTTACCCAGCCTCCAGTAGACTGTAGCCAGGAGAGCGGCTACACTCTGGCTACAGTCTACTGGTGGCCGGTTAAGTTTTCCTTAATTTTCAAAGGGGTTTGGGGGCTGTGGGGGAAGGGGTGGGTATTCCCACAGTTTTCCAGACTAATTTAGTCTAGAAAACTGTGGGAATGGTGTCGGGACTGTAGTGCAGACACCAAAGTAGTGGGTTTATCCCGCACCTTCCAAGAAGGTGTGGAATAGATCCATTATCTAATTAATTTGCTACAAACCAGGGTTTTCCTGGCTTGTGGCAAATTAATTCGGGATTGTCCAGGATGTCATCTGGACAGCCCCTTCTTTATTGTGGAAGTTACCACAATAAAGGGGCTGAATGGATGCACCCTTATAGGTTTTTCTTAGGCAAGGAATACTTAGAGAAGGTGTCACTTCCTTGTTCTGAATATAGCCTGCAACACTAAGTATTTGCTTGTAATCTCCCATCTAAGAATTAACCAGAGCTGACACTGCTTAGCATCCAAGATTAAACAGGATCTGATGTCTTTAGATTGTTTTGGCATGGGAATGGTCCTGTGCTGGTGCATTCAACACTTGTGGAAACTCAGAGTAGCTGCATTTACTGGAATGAGGAAGTAGACAAACCACCTCTTCAAACATAACTCACAAGGAGGAAACACAACAGCTGCACAGATCCTCCTCAACAGACAGCATGAAGGTGTTTCAAGTTGCTCCTCTTCTCTTTCTGCTGATTTACACCACCTCCAGTACCAGCAAGTGGCCAACACACACAGTCTGCAAGAATGACAATTTGGAAGTCAAGTACAAAAGCTGTGGTGAGCTCTTGTGGTTTTGTTTAACTTCTCTTGTTCTTGTATCAGCAACAGGTTACTTGTTAGCTTTGCATGTGGATATACCCCACGACCAATATTAAAAAGATGTATTAGGTGCTGTTGGAGAAGTCCCCCTTCCCCTCCTGCATTACATCTGTACCTGGAATCAATAAGTGCTTATGGGTCTCTTCTATGCACATTTTCAGTGCAGGGACCTGACCTACATCTATCAATGTCTTTGTTTCAAAATTGGCTCTCTCTGTGTAAATAAAACACACTATTTTGAATACAGGATATTCCTGGGTGCGTCAGAATCCCTTTGCCCAGTGCTCATAAAGGTAACTGTTTGGACCTCAACCTCTAGACTTCTCCATCCTGCATGGGAAGATTCTGGAAGATATAGTCCAAAAAAATGATTATTTTTTCTGAGCTCTGTCTAGAAATCACCACTGGATTGGGCAAAAATATTTCTATTACATTATTTGAGGGCTACAAGGCTATTATGCAAACAAGATTAATGATTGATAGCAAAGATTAACAGCAAAAAGAGAACTATCAAAAAACCATCTCTTTTCAGTGTAGCAGAGGTACTATTCCCATGAATATGGAGATTGTAGTGTATTTCTTTTTAATGTTGATTATTATAAACCAGTGGTGTCAAACCTGTGGCTGTCCAGCTGTTTCGGACTTCAGCTCCCAGAATTGCTAAACATCAGACAAGCTAGCTAGGGATTTTGGAAGTTGAGTTCCCAAACCCCTGGAGAACCACAAGTTTGAGACAAGTCTAAACTGTCTCATCCTCCAAGCTTCCAGATGTTATTGAGCCTCATCACCCATCATCCCTTATTTTTGGCTATGCTGACTAGAACAGATGAGAGATGCAGCCTAATGACATTCAAGAAAGCCATGATTTGCCCACATGTACATTCGCCCCTTCACAGAGTGTTGGCAGCAGTGTGTAGGTGTATCACATACATATTTATTATTATTTATTTATTTCTTGCATTTATTGACCGCCACTCTCAGCCCTAGGGCGACTCGTGGCGGT